TCTCTCTCTCTCTCTCTCTCTCTCTCTCTCTCTCTCTCTCTCTCTAACACCCACCCCCTTTTTTTCCTTCCATGTGGGTAGTTGGAAGAAACCGCTGGTAGGTCCTTCTTCTTTTATTTCTCTCTGTTGTTTCGGTCTGTTTACTTGTCCCCTGCACTAGGTTACCGTTATTGTGTCGATATGCTACTCTGTACTTAATCACTCACAAACCCTCCTCCGAACTACAGTCTATAGTGAACCAGTACAAGGCAAGTCGCGTTCGGTGCCCCAAGTGTGAGTACAACTGGTGTCATCGCACCCCGGACTCCTTCATGGCACTCAAGAGGGTGAGTTTGTAGCTTAAGGTGCAAAAAAAAATATTTTAAAAATAAATAAATAAATACATAAATTACACTTTTATTTGTCCCGAAAAGGCACTTTGGTTTACAATGGCAAACATACATGTACACATATAAATACATAATTATTAATACGTACATTCATAAATACATGCATAAATACATACATAAATACGTACATAAATGCATACATAAATACACAATATTACAAAAAGTACTGGAGATTAGAGGTGTTGCAACATAGTAACAAACGCACAAAAAAACAACAGAAAGAGGAACGATAAAGACGATAGGTGTTTGATAGGAAAAAAAGGAGCAAACCACATCAGAGCCCCCATTAATCGCCCTCAAAAGGGTGAGTACACAATTCACTCCCCAAAAACATGGGACAACTCATAGGTGCTCATTGACCACCCTCAGGGCTGCCGTTTATTGGACTGAAGATTTTAGATTTAGATGAAGTTTTTTGCCTTTACCACGACAGCCAAGCAGATCAGTATCGTGATCGCCTCGCCAATAAACAGTTTTTTAAAACTCTGATCTGACATTGTGACGAGCCTTCAAAACACACTGGCTGATGCTCTGCTGCCTAGCTCTGTAGGCTGTAGGATAAAAAATCGAAAGCGCCGAAGTGAATTACTTTGGTTGTGTTGGTTGTCTGTCTGTGTGTTGGGGGATTTGGGGGTGGGGGGATAAGGCGGTACAATGTGAGCAAAAACTGATGGCAAATCATCTCCTTTTTCACAGATCGTCTTGAATGGAAATGTCATAATAATTTAAAGCCATAAATTTTCACAGGCTACTTAAAGTTGTTACATGGTGCCAATTTTTCTTTCGTCATAACCACAGACCAAAGCAAAAGTCATGCGTTTTGATGGATATTCAACTTTTTTTCTTATTTATTTTCCCTTCCGACTCACCGACGCATGTGCAGTTAAAGTTAGGTTCTTCGCCGTTGCATACAGAAGCCCTCCTGGAAACGAGATTTTATCGAGTTATTAATTAGTGGAGTCGGGCAGCGGAAAATTGAGCAGGTTTTAATCCTTTTGTAAAAAAAATTCAAAGGAGTTTTCGAAAACATGTTGGAAATTGTGCAGGTATTTTCGGTATCGAGTATTTCTTAGGTTTCGCAGGTATTCAACGCGGTACCGACTTGAAATTATAGATCTATAAGTATTATATTTATACGGTAAACCTCCTCAGTCAGCTAATTATCAAGACTGTTATTTCATTTCATTATATATATTTTTTCCCGTCTGTTTTCCATCATGAAAATCTCCATTTTAAGTTTTTTTTTAGAGTGACTAAATTGCATCAGGCATACACATTTATACCAGGCCACTATTATATTTACTTATTTTCTGGTTCTTTTGAGACAAATTCACCGGACTATTTTTAGTTAATCAATGTACTCCCTCCAACACCCAACCTGATAGAGAGGTCTTGAACTGGTTTTAGCAGTGAACACTCAGTCAGCTAAACATGTTTGAGGCCGGGATTCTGATTCGACAACAGATCACATTATGGATACTACACTAAAAAAAAATCCCGCACAATTTACCGTACATAGGAAGTGCGGCTTATGTAATAAGCCGTTGTATAACAGCGTAAAACCTGCGCAATCTTCCGTTATCAATGGAGTCCGTTTAAACCCAGATCTGTGTGGCCGCCGGATTTTCGTTGATTTGACTGGGTTTTCGGTTGAGAGAGGCTGTTCAAATAGAAGAAAGGAGAAGAGAATCGGGAATTTCATTTTCTTTCAGTTTACTGCTGTTTTCGGATTAATAATGGTGTTCGGTTTATGCGGACGCCACTGTATCTCAATCTATTCCCAGCCCACACTAGCGAGCCGCCTTCTGATTGACATAGGCGGCATCCGTCGTAATGGTCACATGGTAGCTTAAAACGTTTACAATCTCTGTCCTCAGGTTGACTTCATTTGGATCAACAGAGACCAACGTAACTTTGAATGGTTTGTCTCCCTTCTCTCTCGGCTGGAGCGTGAGCAACAGGTTGATGGTGGGATAGGTACGTATTATTCTTCTAAACCCTCTCTTTCTTTCTCTTTCTGTCTCTTCCTCTCTCTTTCTGTCTCTTCCCCTCTCTCTCTCTCTCTCT